TCGTCATAGTATGCTTATACATACTAGAACGCCCAGCTTTTTGAGTTGACCTTCACCAGAACCCCAAGCATAATGTGTAATGAAGGCTTTCTCAGAGGAGCCTCCTTGCCTGACTTCCCTCTTCCTAATGTTTTCCCTAGAGTCGGAGTGTCAGGGTGAGGCCGTGCGAGACTTCCACCAGGTCCAGAGAGGCTATGCCATTTGCCAGACAACCCGGCCTGTCTCCTGGGTGGAGTGCCGGGGATCGTGCCCAGGGCCAGGATGCTGTGCAGGACTGCGCCTCAAGCGCAGGAAATACACCTTTGAGTGCAGCGATGGCTCTTCCTTTGTGGAGGAGGTGGAAAAACCCAGCAAATGCGGCTGTTCCCAGTGCATGTAGCCTCCAGCAAGGGACAGGCCGGAGCCAGAGACAAGTGGGCCAGGCCTGCCCTGACAGAGGCCTTGGGAACACCCTTGCCATCTCCTCTTGCCCCTGTTGCTGCTTGGAAGAGGGGTGGGGCAGGGCTCTCAGTTTGGCAACGGAGCATCTCCTTCGGCATGGTGACAATGGCTCTTCTGGATGGACCAGACAAAGGTGTAGATAGAAGACTTTTGCTGGGAAATCCAGCCCAACAGATGTATTTATATCCAGCACAGACTCTATCTGGGGCCACTACTTGTGCACAATACGGATTCTTAGCAAGCCTGGCCATGCCTGTTTGTTTTGCCCAGTGTGGTGCCCTGAGAGGCCATGTCCACAGCTCATGCCTAGACACGGGATCCTGCCATTTCATATCTTGTCATTTTACCTGGTGTTAGACCCTGCTATCCTGCACCATGTCTGTCTTTTCCCCCCTTTTCTTTTGGCAGTTTTGCTTTTTCTCTTGTTGAATACCCACCTTTCCTGTTCCTACTGGCTGCTTGTTGCAACCGCATCTTCTGTTTATAGGACTAAATTGCAAGTAATGCAGAGGCAGCACCCGGGGCAAAGGCAGGACGATTGTGTGCTGCAGAATTAGCAAAGAGAAAATCCCTTAGGTGAATGGGAAGCGTTTGTATGAACAGTTGCCTCCTATACCGGATGGTTGCAAGGTAATGGTATTTAAAAACAGCTTAACCTTGGAGCTGCAGTCTGGTCTCAACTAATAGCAGAAAGGAGCCACACTTGCTCCACGTTGAATGATCCACCAGCATTAACAGGACTTACCACCACTTCCCTAATTTTGAAATCCTATACTCACTTAGCTGGGAGTAAGCACCATTGAACACAAGGAGACTTAACTGCCAAATAAGCATGTGTAGGATCTTGTTGCATGAGGGCTGGAGAAACCTTGGCTAGCAGTCTTCCTGTTGTACCTCTGCTGGATGGGACAGGGAGACTTTCATGTCCCCAGTTATAAAGCCAGCCATCTCCATGATTTGAGGGCAGCAGCAGGGACAGACGTAGTTTTCTCTGATTCTGCCTATATCACTGCCTTTCTACACCGCAAAATCTGTCTTCTGCCCAGTTGCCATCTGGTTTGCTGTAATGAAAAGTCTGGATATTTTCAGAGTGGTGCCTGTTCTGCAACCCAACGTCTGTGAACTCGAGAATAATCATTTTCATACCCATCATGCTCACTTTCACCTGCCTTTTAGAACGGGAGGGGGGAATGAATTGCATGTGTCTCTTGCACTCAGTTTACTGTAGCATTACTCTTCATACACCAGGCCCACCCACAAAGTACCATTGTCCTCTTGTCATGGGTTGTGGGGTTGGGTATATCAGCCACCGCCTGCAATAAAAGCTGAAGCACAGGCTTCCAAAGCAAGTGCTATAGATTATTTGCTCAGGTGGGGTTAGGCCTGGGCCACAGCATCAGAAGAAATAAGATGGCTCTTTAAGATCTAGGCAGTTAAAATAAACTAAGCTGACAGTACCTTCTCTTGCTATGTTTCCAAATCCCTGTTTGATAGAGTTTTTATGCTAGACCCTGGACAATAGAGCTGCAAATTGGTCAAAGACACTTTTGATCTAACTTATTCTTGCAGAGAAAAAGTAGTTTGCACTTATCACCACTAGCTACTGACCAATAATTAGAAGTAAAACCATTAGAGTTGGGGGGTGGGGTGGGGGGGAGAAACACCAAGCCAGATTCCTTCAAATTCTGCACATGGAAAGTTAATATCTCTGATCTATATGCACTATGTTAATTAAGCAAATCTGAAGATTATTTACAGAGTTTGCTCTGCTTCTCTTGGTTGGGAGGAGAAAAGAAATAGCACACAGAAGCTGCCATGTCCCAACCACTGGAAATGCTACTTACCCAGCCTGGGTTTTTGAGATTTCCATCAGACAGAGGCTTTAAAGTGTGTAGGAGACACTTGAAGGCTTGAAACAACTTTGTTCAAAAAAAAATTTGAGATGATATTCTCAGGATGCAGAATTTTCACCCAGTAGTCATGGCAGAATCCAGTTGCTGAGAAACAACGTGCTCTCCGGTACAAGCCTGGAGGCCTTGGCTGTACATGTGTTCTTGTTTCCAGGGCAACCTCAGCCAGATGCTTGTTCCCTGAAACTTATGGATCATGTTTCCTATGGTGGGGGGAAGTTTCCCTCCTAAAAGGTAGAGCTACTTGCCTGGAAGCATCTGGTACATGTGATCTCAAGGTTGCAGGTTTTTGGGAGGTACATTGGATATGGGAGAAATAAAAGGGTAGCGTCTCGGGATACCCCCTAGTATAAAACAATTGGTTATTAGAAGCACAGGTTTTCAACTATACACTATATTATGGGTAAAACCAGCAGCAAGGAGGCTATCCTTTGCTTCTGCAGAGAATCAGATGGATGGCTAGTTGCAGGGGCTTCTACAGGGGCTCCCACCTTGTATCTCTGTGTGTGCTAGTCATGCAGAACCTGCTAACTCTTCCATTGCTGCAGGTTAAGAGACAGAAACTACATGACAGCAGGGCATAAGTTGCCTTGCTAGTACTAAAAGCCTTGACTGGTGACTTTTGCAGACAGGTACAGCATGAAACTCTGTTAACATAACAGGATCTGTGGGGCCATTTAAATCTGCAGCCATTCTTTCATATTCTGGTTTTGCCATCTGAAGTATTTTTCATTTCTATTTATTATAGAAACCTCAAGAATGTTAAATGTATTTTTCTTCACACTGAGAATGTGCAGCTTTTAAACTTCCATTTGTAAGGTTCCTAAACAAGTTCAATTACACAAAATAAACTAATTAGGGTTTTTGGAATTTCTTATGACTTCACATTTCCGATTATAGCCATTACACGTATCAAACGGAAAGTATCTTATGTCAGATTTTTTTTAAACTGTGCCTGCCACTGCAGTCCATACTTTGGTAATAAAGTAGATTATATTGGGTATTGTTTGGTAGCCATATGCTGCAGAGGGCAATGCTTGATGTTCACTGTTCATTTTGATGTACCAAAGTAAGTTTACACTTGCAATGTTATCTCAACCAAGTGGCAACACCTTCCACTTATCACCATACTTGAATGAAGATTGTACCAAGCTTTTGCTTGTTCACTGCTGGCTTTGAACCTCCCAGTGATCAGAACAAAGTGTTTTGGTGCCTACAGGGAGGGTAGCATCAAAAACCCAATTGGTGCAACCTTCAGGGGCAGCTCATGGAAAGGGTACTCAGCAATTGTATGAAATGATGTCTTTTGTCACATGTTGTAAGCTAACAGCTGAAGTAGGTCTTTATACATAATACTTAGATTCCTACATATATTAATATATTTGTATTTGGTATAGTATTTTTCTATGCTGTAAGGATGTCAGACAGCATTTCTGTTCTTGGCAGGTGCTTCTCTGTCAGATGAAAACCGGCATCATTGGTTTTAGTAACTGAGGTTTGTGATTCTTGCCACGCTTTTAACGATCTGAGTTTATGATGACTCAAGTGAGGGAACTCAAAATTGTCCCTCCTTTAGAAACGGCAGAATTGATTTAGTTGTTTTTTTAAAACTACCAATGCTGTTGTCAATGTGAACATGACATTAATTTAGCCACGTGGCTGGTCTGGCTTGTCTTCCTCTCCCAGAACAATGGCCCAAATTAAACCTGCTGTTATTCAGTTTTCTCAGAAAAGAAAATTAGAGGGTCACTTCAATACAGGTCATGGCACTTTCCTTTTTTTCAACAATCACACTTGAGAAGGGGGCAGTCATCTCCTTCAGTTCTGTACTCGAGGAAAGTACTTGGTCCACAGCTTAAACACACCAAATTTTGCTCCTTAAGCAGCACTTGGACATAAAACAAACCACCAACTTGCAAAAATTAGGACTGGGTTTTAAAAGCCCCACTTCTGACAGGCTTAAACAACCCTTGGACCTTGGGCATGTAAGAGGAAGTGTGGCACTGACATGGGATTGGTATTCTATTTCTGAGGTAGCTGGACCTGTTTCAGACTTGTACTTGAGATTCTAGGTGCTGCTGCTGCCACCAACAACTGATTTTATCCAAATTCTCCCGTACCTCACAAATGAGAGGCTGGGTAGTAGCTTGCTCAGGAGAAGTGGGACACATTGAGCTACACCTTTGCTCTTGTAGAGCCACTATGTGGCAATTAGGTGCAACCACACCTGGCTGGCAATAGTGCCAAAATAGCGCCTCCTCACACACACCGACAATGTGGTATCAAACCCAGCCTAAGCACGAAGAGCCAAGCACAGAGAAATGGGTCAACTAGGAGAGGAAGACTGGTGTCAAAAGCAGTGCAGTGCCTACCTCTGCTGAAGCTAGGGGCAATGACCAGGCTCTGAAGTTCCTAGCCAAACTTTCTGGTTTCTTTTGGAGAGCCAGCCTGCTGTAGACCAGGTCAAAGACAACACCCACATGGGAGTGGTAGCTAACAAGGCAATCTTTCCATCTTCCAACAGTTCATTGTTTGGTGACATCCTTCACAATTGTGTATATGTCCTGATAACCTCCAAAAGCAGCAATTGAGATGGCTCATCAACATGTCTCGTCTTTGCACATCAAACTATATCACACCACACCAATACTGATATAAAAGAAATGTTTAATAAGCGGCAATAAAGTAAGACTCCTTAGGGCACGCAGAGTACATACACAATGCATAAAGAGGAAGAAGAAACATGGAAAGAGGCAGAGGTCTAAGCCTCACCTGCAGCCCCACAGTCTGTAACAAGAATGCGTTCTCTTCCACGGGTGAGTTAATAAAGCACACAGAAAAATCATGGAGCTGTCACAAAAGTAATGGCAAAGATTTAATACAATTTCCATGGTAAAGTAGCCCTAAGTGTTGTAGGTGTGTCAAACGGGTAGGAAGCCACTGAACAGAACCTTTATTTTTATATACATTTTCAAATGTTACTCAGGTGAGGTATATAAATATTACCTAATGACACATTTTACCAACAATTCACAGCAGACACGCTCTTCTTCTAAAGTCACAGCATTTCCCAGGGCCCTGAAGGGAATGAGGCTCCAACTTAAGCCTTCAAATAGCCAACTCATGATCACACACTGGGTTTGGGTGATGTGCACAGTACCAGACCTGAGGGAAGGGGAATAGAGAGAATAGACCCCCCAACACACACATTTGGTTCATCATATGGGGAAGGTAGGAGTCTCTTAGACACAGCAAGTAAAAATGCCTGTGCAACACAGAGTGAAAAATGAACTGACTATAAATCAACACAGGAAGTGCAGAACACACCTGCAGTCTTGTTGAGTGCTGTGCAACACACTGATAGAGGTTCATTCAACTGGGCAGGAGGTTAACCTAAACTTCAAGAATGCCCTTGTGGAAAGGTTGCAAGTCTACCCCCCCCACCTCGTTTAACAACTTCATCTGAGAATTGAGGACTTTTACAATGGATATAGGCAGGGCTGAAGCTTTTCAGATGGCAAAAGGAGGGTGCAAGCAAAGCAACAAGTTTTCTGGAGCTACATTAAGAAGCTGCATTGCCATGTTTTCCATAGAAAGAAGAGAGGGGTGATGGGTGGGAATTCTGAATGGCCAAGACAAACAAGAAGAAATAAACCCTTAGGAACTTCCACACAAGCCTAACTTTAAAAAATATGAGATAATCACAAAAGATACATTCAAAATAAGACTAATACAACACAGGAGGGAGCAGAGAGCATAGAAATACTTAATGGTCCAAAGTAATAAAATAAAATAAATTCAGGGAGACAGAGAGAGTAAAAAATGGGGCCCTGGACTCTTACAGCAGCTGGAAACAAGGGAAGTGATGAATGATTGGCTTAATCTAAAAAAAGGGGGGGATGAGCACAGGAAACATCAAACACACAACAAAAGAGGTGCTGGTTAGATTACAAGAGTCAGCTATAAATGATGCTTAGAGGGCACCACCACTTCCTCCATGTATGCCACTGGCATGTCTCCCATCCTATCCCCAGCAAGAGCTCCCCTTAATTCAGTATCCCTGAGTCCACCTGCCCAGGTGAATAAGCATGCAGAGATGTTGAAGCAAAATATGTCTCTTTCTCTATGTGGCAAGGCCAGTGAAGAAGGGCAGTCTTCAATGAGATGTGCACACACATTTACACAAATATCCCCATAAGGACTTAAACATTAATTTGTCACTGAAAACATTATTACTAAAAATTCTTATTGCTCACATGTACTGTCCCCAAAGATGCACGTGACAAGGCGGGCTGCCCAGAACTGTACTTTGACTTGCTTCCACAGAAAATGAGATTTTAGATAACCCATGTAATGCTTTTACTCGGTTTAGGCCCAGTTCTAAGTAATGTCATAAGCCAGGGCCTGGGCTGTTTCACTTCGGATTGCAGGCGAGAGCTCACATGACTGAACACTCTATCATATGAAAACATTCTCCCACATGCAAAAGCTAGCATATCGGGGAGGATAGGCTAAAACAATTCGCCCCGATCGCTTGCTTTCTATGTGAAAGGGCTTTTAAATATGGAGTATTCAATTATGTAAGTGTCATTAATATTCATTTGTCTATTCTGGGTATAGCCCAAATGCAGCTTCAATGGGAACTAAGTCCTTGATTTTGCAGCATAAACTCCAGACCAGATGCCAGTCCTTCTCCCCCGCCCCCCAATGTCCAATTATTTTTGCAGTAGGAACCCCCCACCCACCCAAAAAACCATACTACCGGTACATTGCAAACCAACAGCACACCCAAGACTTATTAGCACAAAGTACAGGAAATAAATATTTTAAAACTATTTACAGTATTCTTCTAGTTTTTGTGACCACCCAGGAAGAAAAGGCAGCAATTACCCTGCACCTAGGAAAGCATTACAACCGCTAGCTGGATGCTATGTTAACACAGCACCTACTATATATATTTATATATAAACACACATATACATATATGTATATATTCACATTGCATTTTAAAGTCACACACAAAAAGCAGATCCTTAAAAAACCTTTGATAAGCATTACAGGGTAAAAAGACCCACTTAGGTAAAAGGTCACACACGGGTAACAAAACCCATTCAGACTCCACTCATTTCCACTATTTCTGTGAGAAACAATTCTTAGGGCGACACTTCAAGAGGGAAGGGTTTTTAAGAAGAGGACAGAGTCTCCTGTACCTGCAAACCAAAGCTCCTGAGTTCATCTTAGACTAGATAGGAAATTTTTCAGCAACCTAGCTAAATGCTGGGGGGGGGGTGGAAATACAAAAGAAACTAACTGGCAACAGGAGAGCAAGAAGGTGGCTTAGGGAAGAACATACAAGTGTCTCTTCATTGAGATTATCTGTGCCAGGAAGATGCCGCATGGAGATTATCTCTGTGCAGGAAAATAGCATGCATGAAGTGGCCCGGGGCAGTTTAACCCCTCAAAACCCCCTATGATCATATATGGGACCTTTCAGGAACACAGGGACCTCGCCCAGATAGGGCCATTCCATGAAATTCAAGAGCTAGGCAGAGCTAGATCAGGTGTGCATGTAGCAGGGAAGGGAGCAGTGGCAGATGAAGTCCAAGCAAGGACAGAGGTGGGATGTGTGAAAGACTAGGGAGGCACTGGTTTGTAGGCCATTGCATAGCATCATCAAATATCTCTTATCTGCATATTTGTTTCTATTTGGTGGGCATGTGGGAACTGAATGAAGAGAGTTATATTTATAGCATTTTCAGAGGCACTCACAGATTTAATGAAGTCCCTTTTCAATTTGTGGAGGAATTCAACGTAGCACTAAGGAGATTATTCTGTCAACACAAGCATTTCAGTTTTCCAGAAGGAACAATCTCCCTTCTCCCTCCTCCGCTTGCTGTCAATTACCCTGACACACAGCCCCGAGCCAATTTGGGAGGCAGGGAGGAGAGGGGCTAAAAGCCCTGTTGCACTCACAGAAGACCTTGTGCTGGCTCCTGCTGTGGGACTCAATAGTTGAATCCAGCCCAATACTTTACATTTCCCTTTGGTGCAAGTTAATTCCCCATTGCTCTGCTGTGCTTCCTGGTGATGAGGAAGAGTGGTACCAACACTGATTTCTGCAACAAAAAGAGAAGCAAGGTACTGGCTACCACCTTTAAAGAGGACAAAGGCAGAAGACTGTCTTATCAAAGCCTCTGCCAAGCTAGTGTCATCTAGATGTTTTGGCTAGGGCAGATAGGAGCTGCAGTCCAAAAAATTGGGTGGGCAGCAGGCTGGCAAAGGCTGCCTTATCACATGAGACTACAAATGGAACAAGGAAATGATTCTGGAGAAAAAGATCTTTCCAGCAGCTTCTTGTTTAGAAGATGAATAGGAATAATTGGCCAGGATGTTGCAACTCATAATAATAATAAATGATTAGTGATAAGCCTCAGTAACAGTTTTGTGCAGCTTAAATATTCCCCAGACATAGAATGGGAAAAAGGAGATATCATCATTATTCTTACTACTACAAAGCAAAACCCTATGCATAGTGACAGTAATTATGTCAGGAGGAAAGAGCCATAAATAGCATTCCTGCAGGAGCCACCCAGAAGCTACGACAGATGAACTGTCCAGAGCTAAAGTTGCTACAAAAGTTTCTCTAAGCATTGTGTGCCCTGCACCTTGATAATGTGCACAGAAGTTGGGGCTTTCCCTTAAATACAAGATAACAGCCTTCATTGAAAATTACTGAAAGTAGTAATACTCTCAACCACAGGGAAAGAAAAGCACTGCACACTTGACCAAGAAAAAGGCTGTTGGGAGAAAATGGAAGACAACTAATGGAAGATCTTTTTGTGAAGAACGTCTAGTTTGTCTCAACAAGAAGGGACGGCAAAGGGCCAGATTTAAGGAGATGAGATATAAAGAGATGAGCAACAGGGCAAGTTATGGGGAATTCTCCACCATACCATCGGGGGGAAGAGGGTCTCTTTTCAAACACGGTGTGTGCTACAGGAGAGGCTAGGATTCATGATGGTCCATTGCATCTGATGGAAAGAAACAGTACAGAGGCTGGTTTTATCCAATAAGCAAAGCCATCCACTCTCTTCTAGGAATGCCCAGGTAGCATGGAAACAAGAAGGCACAAACCATCCCAGTTTGACTATACTTGTGAACAGGGGTTTTGCGACAGTACTCACTGGTATCACCTCTTTTTTGCTGCCCATGGCAGCCATCTTGTGCTGACACCTACCCCACTTTTATCAAGACATGATACTTCATTTTTAACCCCCACAAAAAGCACTGCCTTTAGACCATTTTGGCAATGGGGCCCAAGATGCTTAAGCAGTAGAACCTGCCAAGCACGTAGAGAGGAGCAGAAACAGAGCCACAGTTAGAGGAACTGAAAAGCCTTTCTTGTCACTATACTGAGTAAGCCTATTACAGTCACAACCCCAGGCTTCTCCCCTTACTCTCGCAATTCTTTTGCTAGAGAGCAGTACCAGGTTAGACCAAGTTTATAACATCACCAGGCCATAGCAACTGTACTACTGCAGATAACCATTGAGTCTGGAAAGTGCACCTATTTTTGCTGCAGAAACCAACAAAGCAAGATTGCATTTAACAGATGACACACACTCCTTGCAAAAAAAGAAAAGAAAAAGAAAGACAAATGCTGAAGAAGTGGACGGATGGGAAACAGTGCGCAGGAATTAAGCCCCTGCAAAGAGAAGAGCCCAACCCAAGAAGGCTGGTTTCCAAAGTTATATCTACTGGAAGAATTAAGAGTCAAGTTCTCACTATCACAAAAGTGGGTTACAGGGCATCAAAGGGAGAGGAAATGGCCTCTTTGCAACTTACTTAGTGGACAGCATATCAGCCTGGCATGTTGGTGACATAGTGTCACTTGCATGACGTAAGGACTGATGCACAGAGCACAGTCTGAAGAATGCCTCCCAACCAGAAGGTAGCTTTGCTTCAATATAAATCATACTACGCTATCACCATCAGAATTTATTTTAAAAAAACAACTCCAAATTGCTTTAAACTACTTTGCTCACTTCTCTCCTCCCCCCCCCCAAGCTTAACTAGTCTATTGTCTACATGCCAAAGGCTTGCCTTGCCTTGCCAGAAGCCACTGGTGCTAGAACCTGGGATAAATCAACCACTGGACCAAACTCTCTCCAGACCTCACCAAAACACTGCAAGGCCTGGTCACTGTATTCCAACTTCTCATAGGCAACCTTGCAGAAAAGGTGGGAGGGGAGGGGCAACTGTGAAGCTCTCAAATGCTACACAGGGCTTACAAAGGGATTCTCTTAAGTTACAGACCACACAAGAAATGGGAAAGCAGAAAGGTGTAGAAATATTTTATTAGCAGTGTTGGGATCAGAATCAGTAGCCCAAAGTACCACAAGGTGCTCGGCCACCCAGCAGTGTGTTAGGAAGCAGCCCTGGGTTGAGGGAGCAGGAAGATTTTACACCTTTCTGGATGGAGGCGTTTGAAGTTGGAGAAAAGTAGAGGTGAAAAACGTGACACGCTCACTCTTCCTCTCACTCACTCACACATACATGCTCACGCACCACACTTCCTTAAATACCTTTTAATACTCCTGGTGGAATGTCTAGCACATTTTATATGTGCAGTTCAAATAGCAATCAGACAAATACGTATCAATCTTTACAGAGAATGCTAGGCCTGACTTAATGCTTACAACAATTCATTTTATACAGCATGATTTACATCAAAAGACAGAAGTTAAAAATCAATGATTCAAAAGTATTCATACAAAAAGAGTCCACCCTGATGTGTCTTATAGCTTTAGTGCACCCTCTCAAGACACAGACTTGGGTAAGCAGGTGAGCAGGAGGGCTTTGCAGTTCCAGGCACTGCCTCCCAAATCTCTTTGATCAATGGAACAAATTATACAGCTAGTTATTTGTGTTCTGCCTGCAGTAATGAGCTTTGGTATAGGAGTGCCAATGCTAACGCACCCTCCCTCCTTTAAAAAAACGAAATAAAACCAATTTCCTTGCACCTAAGCCTTGTTCTTGCTCCCTAAAGAGTTTGCCTTTCCTTTTATTCTACAAATCCCTCACCAACTGGAAAGACTGGTTCCAGCCAGTTAATATAATAATGTGTAAAGATGTGTTTGAGTACGTCGATCTCAGATGGTATCCATGGAAAGCTATTCTGAAAGGTCAAGCCATTCGAAGGCCTTCGCGGGAAGCTCCTGGGTGCCACGCACAGCAAGCGAGAGGAAGTTTGCACAAGTTTCTAAGCAAATACCTCTGCCTTTGTTGTGATTTAAAGGAAAACTATGGAAATAAATAAAAGGCTGCTTTTCTCTCCAAGCCCAGAGTAGCAGCAACCACTGTCTGTCACCCAGCAGATGGGTAGCACAAAGTACAAGGGGCAGGGAGTTTCCTCTGAGAAAAAGGCTGCTTCCAAATGCTGTCAGATCCAAAACAAATGTTTGCACTGAGAAGGGGACTGTTTGCCTTTCTAATAGGTGTTCGTAGAAATACCTTGTCTGAAGACAGATACTTCTTGACCTTTACATAATGCATTGATTAAACTTGCAAGGTGAGGCCTTGCAAGGGAGAGAGAAGCTTGCTTACTCTTAAGCTGGAACCAAACCACACTTGCAAAAGCACCAGATATTTCTAGTTGCTTCCTTGTCTGCAGCCAGCATTGCCTCCTTCTTATTTTAATAACAATAATTTTTAAAATCTTTTTGACATGCGGCAAACAGGGAAAGATGAAAAAAGAACTTGCAGCAACTGCATAGAAATCATGTAAGTTTACAGCAGAGAAGAACCTCTGACTACGGGCGCTTTCCAACATTACTTTTTACAGACCCACAAGATGCATGGAAGCTTCACTTTGGAATGGTTTTTTGTCCGTCTATTTCACTGCTAAGATGTGCTTTCAAGTACCCATATTTCAGGGGTGTTCAGGCCTCACAGTAAAATGGACAAGAATACCACCATTCTGAAATGCATCCAGGCTGCATTTGAGGACACAGGCCCGAAGGCGCCCGCCTGTAAACAACCATGTCAGAAGTGGCAGGCAGTGTGCATGTACTTCATAGGGAAGGGCTCTCCATCCAAACAAGCGGTCCAGTGCCTTTCTTGGCTAAGTACAAAGTTGGCCTAGCATGGCTGCCAATCACTGACGCTTCGGAATCAGCATCTTTTTGACACGAGAGCAAGGCTACATTACAGCCAAGCCCCAGTTACACAAGATAGTCCAGCTGTTCATACCTTAACAACAACACACACCATTCTGACTGACAGGATTAAAGGATGCAAATGCTTTGGGTTTTGGCTTTATAATGCCCTGCTTGGTTTAAACAGTGCCAGGATGCTACAATGCACAAAAGGAAGAAAATGCTCCTGTGTGAACCCCAGCAGGTGGGCTGCCAAGGTCTATGGGATGTGCATGAAAGCTGGTTCTCTTTCCATTACAGTTCAAGTGCTTGTGCATTAACTATAAACTGCCAGCCTTTAAATCACACAGATTAATTTATTCAGTTCCTAAAAGGATAAATAAGGCACTGTACTTCGAACTGAAACCTGCCAAACTCCTAGTTCCACTCCAGGAGCTTTCAGAAGCAGCAACTTTCCTTCTCAAGGGCAGAGAATAATAGCTTCCCCTTCTGGCTGCAACACAGCTAGGGGGCTCCTCATCACCTGAGAGCGGGGGGTTGGCCTTCGGCTAAACACTTGCATCCCTCCCCACAACGTTCAGAAGTGGATCTGTTTAATGCATTAGGAAGTATTTCCATGACCCACCTCCTACCCACCCCCAACCCCAGCCGGTTACTTTGCATCCAGACACCTGCGTTTGCTGGGTGAAGAGTCTTTGCTTGCCCTCAGCTTCCTCTTGCCCTGGGCTGTGCTGCTCTCCTGAATTCGCTTCATTGACCTAGTCAAGGCTTTGCCACTGCTTGCCTTTTGGGCAGCCACTTTGGGAGGCCGGCTGCTGGAGTCTCGCACCACTTTCTGCTTGGGAGGCTTAGCAAGCCCTTCTTGCCTGGAAGGCAGACTTGCCTTTTGACCGGCCTTGGATTTCCCCTTCTGGACGGGGGGCTTCCTTTTCCCAGGTCGCAAGTCATTCAGCTTCTTTGCCTTCTCGTTCCCAGACACAGGCTTATGACTCTTGTCGGCAGCCGCCTGCTTCCTGGTAGCAGGAGGCCCTGCAGGCTTCGGTTTACTGGCTTTCTTAAGAGGAAGCCTTTCTTTGCTCGAGGTGCTCAGCAGCCTCTGTGACCTGCTGCTCTCGGTCGGCGACTTCTTCTTGGTTTGCTGAAGGTGGCCTTTGGATGAGGTGTCCTCCTGTACCTTGCCTTTCGCCTTTCGCCCCTTCCCTCCTCTTTCAACCAGGCTTGTCTTAGTCGCAAGTGGGGGTGCTTGGATCTGCTGGGCCAGTTTCGGAGACACCAGGGGCTTAATGCACAGGCTCTTGCCGCTCGGCTTGCTTTCAGCAGAGGGGTGCTTGGTCACGCTGTCGTTCTTGTCCTGCTTGGCCACCTTGCGTATGGCGTTGAGTTTGCCTCGCAAGTTGGAGTACTTCCTCAGGATGCGAGAGCTGGTTTGCACAGGCGTGCTGGGAGGCTGGGCGCTCTTGGCTTCGGCTTTGTGCTCCACGCTTACTTCGGAGGGAGGCGTCTGCTTCGAACTGGCAGCCTGCTCGGGCTCTTTGTCCTCAGAGCCCTCTCGAAGCTTAGCCCACAGCCTCTGAATCTTGATGGTGTTTTTGGCCGGGGTCATAGCAGCAAACTTCTTCAAGTGTTTCTTCAGGCGCTCAGCTTGAAGGGAGCTAGGGTAGCTGCCGGAATAGCAGCCCTTCTGGAGTGGAAGCTTGATGAGGGGGATGTCCCCTGGGAGACGTGTGTTCATCTTCTTCACAATGACCAGAGACTTGGTTTCAGTGGTCTCCATAAACCACTTGCAGATGTTGGACATGTCAAACCCCTTCATGAACAGCATCTGAACCGGGGAGAGCTTCTGGCCTTCCGTGGGCCCTTTTAATTTGCGGGTCCTCTTCTTGCTTTTCCAGATCTCTTTCAGTTTGTCGGATTTATTCTTGACCTTTGGAGCTGGCTGAGCCTCTTTCTCCAGCTGAATCCACCCTTTCTGGACCTTCATGTACTGAGTGTTAAAGTTAGTGATGAGTTCTTGGTTCTCTTCCTCAGCACACCATTCCACAAAACTGGGCTTGTTGTCAGAGAGCACATCCATGCTACTGAAGCCAACGGTGTCTTCACACTGTGCATTTTCTTGGTCTGTGACATTAGAGCCTGCTTGTATAGTCACAGCATTAGAATCTCCTTGTACGGTCTCTTTTCCAGAAGTGTTTTTGGAGGCAGTGGCCACAGGGGTTGGGGCAGGGGTGTGCCTCAGGTTGTAGAACTGGAGAGCTGGCTTCTTAGATTTTACCGATCTCTCTGGTGGTACAAGCTTGCTTTCACTCCTGCTAACAGAACTGGGCCCATGCTGGGTGTGCAACTCCTCTGTAACCTCCATTATACTGTCAAAGTTATCTGGAGTGCCTGATGTCAAATCTGACTGCTTTTCACCCTTATCAGAGGTCTCTGCTGAGACACGAACACTTCTCCTAGCAGAATCACCCTCTAAGCAAATTTCAAGCATTGCCCCTGCCTTGTCCTTGTTTCCTTCTCCATTCCGGTCTTCCTCTACTATGGTCTTTTTCGCTAACAGTGTCTGAGAGGCCTGCCCCATTGTGATGTCATTTCTGTCACCTGGCTGCTGCTCAGAAGAATTCCCAATGTTGTTTAGCAGTGTTTCATGGAACCCGTCATTTGGGAAACACAGCGATGCTGCACCGTCAAGTTGCACCTCCCTCTTGAAACGCTTAGCACCAGGGCTTTTAGAAAACTTGATCTGAACTTGAGGAAGCTGTAGAGACATGGAAGAAGTTGATTGCTCAGGACTATCCTCTGCAGATGACAGGGATTGCTGGCTTCGAAGACAGCGATCGGATACAATCTGAGGTTTTTTCTCCCGCTTTCGTTTTTTGTCCGGGCTTGTTTTGGAAGAAGCTCCCTCCTTGTTGTCCACTTCTGATGTTTGGGGCACTGCTGGAGCTTCACTATCAAGTTCCTTTCCATCATCCACCTTGCTTGTTTCACTTGTATCTTTTACTGTTCCCTCTTCCCAATCTTCATCATTATCTGCAACAGGCAACACAGTCTCACTTTCCCCAGAGTGGATTCCACCTGAGTCCAGAATCCCTTCAAAGCTATTTTGAGTATTAATACTTTCATGTGCATCTGCACCCTGCAAGTTGCCAGGGAGCTCTGCAGCATCCAAGTCAGAAAGTGGCTGTGAGAGCTCCATATCTAACTTGCCAGGTCCCACCACTGGAGATTCTATAGAAGGAGCCCCTGAAGGAGCCTCTAGGTCAATATGGGCAGGAGGCTCAGACACCACAATGCCAGGAGACACAGCCCTTGAACTGGCAACAGGCTCCCCTGGACACATACGCTCTGGGATAGGAGGGAGTTCTCCAGGGAGGGCTATGGAAGGCTCCAGACAGACAAGGGCAGGAGGTTCTGCCAGGTCTATAGGGGAAAGAAGTGGAGGTTCCACATCGGAAGGTAGTTCTACAAATGGTGGCAAGTGTTCAACAGGGGCAGGCTCCTCCAGTGGAGGCATCAAGTCCATTCCGGGGGAAAGGTCTTCAGGGGGCTGAAGGGCCATGCTGTCAGGAGGCACCTGGTCTGGAAGAATGGAAGGCTCAGGGGTAGCCTCGGTCTCTGAGAACATGGCACTTTCCTCACCACTGGCAACCTCTGAAGCAGACAACACCACAGATTCTCCTGTGTTGCCACTGTCTTCATTGGGTCTGCTACTCTTACAAGAGTCTGTGCCATTGCCAGCCTTCTGCACAGTGTCCATGTCCATTTCGTCCTGTGGCTCCCCTTTGCTCAGTTGGCAGGGAGAGACAAGAGTGGTCTGCAGTGAAGAATTGGACAGGCTGCCTTTCTCTACACGCAAAACAAGGCCGGGTGGCGGGGAGAGAGCAATTGTGGATGCTTCAGCAGAACTGTCTTCTCTCTCCTTCACAAAACTTACCTCAGGAGCGGCCTTCTCAGCCCGACACATCTCATCTCTCTCCTGAGTACTGTTGTTGGAGGCATCTCCTTGAGGGACGGCCACAGCAGGTCTTTTGTCACCATCGCCACTCATGGCCTGGGCTGCTGCTAAGCAGCTATCACTCGGAAGAGAAGCTCCCTGGCTAGGGCTTGTCAGCACCTCAGGCCTTGGCGCCAGTGTGTTCCCACTCTCCTGTACATGGGAAGTCTTGGCCAAGGTACGAACTGTGGGAATCTCACAGCACTCACCGTTGTAGTAGTATCCACGAGTGCTCTTCCTTGCCGTCTTCCTAGAGGAGACCACCCTCTTGCTCTCAAAGTGGCACTCTGTAATTGGCTGGCTGATATAAACAACATCGCATTGGTTGTCATAGTCATTAATTCTCAACCCTGAAGGCCTTTTGCTCTTACGTGTGCTTTTGGTGGAGGATGAGTTACTCTTGGTCCTGGAGTGTCCATTGGTGGTTTTGTGGTGAACCACTGGCACAGGGCTATTGGATAGCCAGCCGTCCTTGGCATTCTCCACATGGGTCTTGTCAACAGGTTGCATGTTATAGCTCCCCTTGCTTTTCCCTGAAGCCTGGAGGTGGTTCTCTGCCTTCGGTCTTGCTTCTTGGTCATTCATTTCAGTATCCGGGTGCAAAGAGGCTTTGGAGCTGCACTGCAAGGCATTCTCTTTATCTGCTCTCCTAGGGGAGTTGGTGGTGAAGCTTGGCTCTCGTGTTTCCTCTGGGAAAGCTTTAAAAGTGTTCTTCTGGGAGCCCACCAGACCATCTTCACTCATGTGTATGTTTGTTGCTTTCACAGCATTGTAGCCTCCCAGCAAAGCTCTATTTTGCACCTGGTCTTTGTCATCCTCACCTTTCCTACCCCCCATCTCTTGGTCACTACCAAGGGCTTGGCCTTCCAGACTTTTAGCAGAGTGATGGGAATTGGAGGCAGTGAGGTATCCTTGAGAGGGACTGTCCCTGGGACTTGCAGAACTTGTTCTAACGCTAGGAAGCTCAGGGAAGTCTCTTCGGACAACTGGGCTGCAGTTTTCCCTTCTATCTGTAGATTTCAGATCCACAGCCTGCTTCAGGGCATGGCAAAGTTTGCGCAGAGAGCCATGAGACCCTGATTGCTCTGTGTCCAGGGAAGAAGGGAGCTTTGATTCAGAGCAAGAAGTTCCAAGCTCCTGGTTCTCAGTGCGATACTGGCTGCAGCCAGAGCTACAAGTGGACACATCCATGTTTTCTGCTCCAGGTAACTGCTGTCCCTCACAGCCTGTCTGTACTTCAGTGCAAATGTCGTTTAGGACACGGACGAAGTGCTTCTGGTGGTACGTGCACAGTCTGACCATAAATTTTTCCAATGGAGATTTCGGCTGGCCAAGACAATCTGCAGCGTCCTCACTAGAGAGAGGGAGAGAGAAAGAATCAGTAAAGTTGGGTAGCAAATCACTTTACACTGCAAATCACTTTACACTTTACACTGCAAATCTCTGAATCAGAATGGTATGAAGTATCTTAAGTAAATATATAATTGTTCAGTCCAATACATATTCAAATGCACGCATAGGACATCATCCTAGAAAACAGGTTTTTTTCAATCTAGTTTACTAATTATACTGAGATGTCAAATCAACATGCAATTACGATGTCAGTCAAGCAGTTCCACAGAAACTGAAGAAAGAATCAATGGAAAAAGTGACCGAACTAATGATGTAAACCAAGCTTTCCATTCGGTTATTTGAACTATCCTTGAGAAAGTCAGGCAAACTTAACAACTATCGTCAGTAAGCTAAAATGATAGAACCTTGGCCTAACTGAAACCCTGTCACAGTCCAAAGCAGGGGTAACCAACGTGGTACCTGTTGTTGAACTATAACTCCCATCAACCTCAGCCAGCATGAGCAGTTGTCAGGACAGCAGCCATATTTTAGTACTTAAACTGGGCTATAAAGATCCTGGATAGAGTATGGCTTCTCAACAGCATTCCCCTGGGTTCTGTTCAATCACTGTTGGGCTTTCTTTCATTTGTTAAATTAACTAGAAGAATACTGGAAACTTAAAGGACCAACACACCAGCATATTTAACTGAGTCACATTGATTTTAATGGAACTTGCTTCCAAGTAAGTATGCTTAGGATTGCAGTCTCAAGAGGCCAAATAAAAGGTGAACTGTGCTTATTAAGGTCACTTCTTAGACCTGTTTATTGAGCATTCATCAATAAAAAGGCTTGCAAGGAGGTTAGACAACATCATTCTGATTTGTTTGAAGGGAGTTTACACAATATTGCATCAAGCAATTGTTACCCCCCCCCCCATTTTCACAGTACTTCCCTCATCACAAAAGGTCTAGTTTTATGGGAAACACATTTAATAATAATAACAATAATAATAATAATAATAGTAATAGTAATAATAATAAATTTTATTTATACCCTGCCCTCCCCAGCCAAGACCGGATTCAGGGTGGTTAACACCAGGTAAAAACAATTGATTAAAATACAACTTAAAAACAAGATTAAGTAATTTGATGTACAAGAGCATCAAATCAACCACATTTGTGCTCCTTGATTTGGCAGTATGTGACTGAACCCCACCTGAAAATAGCAACAGTCTAGCAGCACCTCAAGATCAATTAATAGTTAGTTTTTAAAATGAACAAGGGATGTACTCATGACATTTCACTGAGTCTGGTCCAGATACTGCAGTCAAAAGGTTTCTTAGCAACAATTAGGATACAGGTAGGGTTCCCAGCTAGGTCACAACCTGCAGAACCTTCTCATCTCTTGGGTAGAGTCACAGCCATTAAACAGGATTCAGCTGTGGCTCTTCCTGTTTCTCCTCCTGGGCCTCTTACGCACCCTCCACCCCCAGCTGCTGCGTGTCAAAACAAGAGTTTCTCTGGCTGCAGCAGGTGGGGGAAGTGTGAGTGTGGAAACTGAAGCTGCATCCTCCTTCAGAGCTGCAGCAATATTAAAGTAACAAAAGGATTCACATGGTTGTCGCCTGGCAAGCCTTGATGCGTGTAGGGATGTCGAATCTGGATCTTGATCAGCTAAGCTCACACACTGCAGAAGAACTTCCATTTGTGTAAGAACAAAAGAACATCCAAAATGGTGGTTGTTGCATATGCTTGTTTGCAGATAAAGTACCAGTAACTCTTTGCAGTATCCACTTTTCCAAAACTCTTGAGAGCCTCCAGCTTGCATAGATTTTCCTGCACATTTTTAAAAATACTAACTTTTAAAAAATCCCAGTATAAACACAACTTTCATTGGAAATTGAGGGTGGTTTATTTTTGCTATCCTTTTCTATTACTTTACCTTGTTGATCTGACACATCTTAGCCCCTATAAAGCCCCCTCCCCCCAATTCATCAAGGAGCTCTGTTCCTCTTCTGTTGTGCACATAATTTTAAGAGCCTAGAGGTCACCCGCAACAGATTTCACCTCTCTGCCTCCTGACTTTGGGGCTCTTATAGCACCTGCCACAGCTTTCCCCAGGGCAGCCATCATTGCTTCTTATTCCAGTTTGTCACTAAGTACGAGAGAGAGAAATCAAGGGGCAGTAGCTGTCATTTGTTCAAACACAACTGTTGCCATGCAACAGTCACAGTGCCACAATTAATGCTTTTCAGATTTTGCTCTGCAGTGCAGCTATTTGCATAGCTGGATGCTGAAACATGTCTATTTGCACAGAGCTGTCACTGGCTGGTGTTCTGTTCTCAATTAGTATGTGTGCACAAATCCCTACATGCACATATACAGTCTGTTTTTTGTTGTTGTTTTGTTTTCTTCTGAAGGATGTGCACAGGCTGCTAAAGAACATTTTAAAATTTCTGAGCAATGCTGGTGATTTTTAGGGTGGGGGCAGGAGATTAGCTACAATAGCAAACAACAGTAATCTTCAGTTTGTAGGGATTTGGAGGGTTTACCTGAGAAATGTAGTTTTTGAAGTTCAGGCCATTCAGTTTGGCCCCTATTTGTATAACCACCAAAATCTTCTACTTAACACACAAAACACCCCCCTATTTCCCACTTCCTTAATATGACCAAAACGGATGCATCTTCCCCAGCTACAGAACAGACTGTTTGGAATCCATCTAACTGAGCTGCTGTATATCCAAATAAGAGGGGTGCGTGTGACCCAATTAATCACCCACTGCCTCCCAAGTTTCCTTTCCATCTCCATTACCCCCCTGGTAAATCAGTTTGACAGAGTATAAGTTTACAGGTATGTTTTGTACCTCAGAGGCACAAGAAGAAGCAGCAGAACAAAAGTTCAAGGCTAAGTGTTTCTGTTCCTTTCAGATCACTCTAAGCACCCTGATTATAGCTCTGTAAAAAAACAAGACATAGCTATAAACTTATAAAACCCAGCCCTGTTGTTTTTTTATACATCAAGAGGGAGACAGTTCTCTCCCTCTCCCTTATGCTTTTCAGCAGCCAACTCACAAATTATCAGCAGCAGAAGTCCCAGCACCCAGCTGTAGCAGAACTTCCTCTCCCCTTCAGACTGAGGGGGCAACAGAAACCAAGGGAACATGAAACAGAGTTTGAATTTCTCACAAGATGGACATGGTTTTGAGCCTGGGCTGCAGAGGCTTTAGAAAGGTCAGTGAAGAAGTGACACATCGCCTCTGTGCAGAAACACCCCTTATGAACAGTGGTCCAGACCTCCTCATAGCAACCCAAAAAACACAGGTGGTTAGTTTGAAAAACTGCAGCCCACACCTGGATGGGCTGAGGAAGAAGAAAAACACACTAGTTTCACCCTTAAATGCATTTTCAGAACACCAATAATGACCTTTATTCCAGAATGAATCTCTTGCTGATGATTTTTAAAAAAGGGGGAGACCCACTTCAAACTGAATAAAATTTTCCATCAGTGTGGTTTTTTTCATGTAGAAAATGCAACAAACAAACAAAACTAAGGCCAGTTTGTGTTGCCTGTGTTGTTTCAGGCTGGCTAGTTTATGAATCAGAACAACAAAAGCATTGGCCATAACCTGGAACAAGTCTCGTGCTTCCCCCCATTTGTCACCCAAATGCAGGGTGGTTGGCAGAAATTAGTCTACTCTGAACACACAGGGAAATCTAAGCCAGAAAAAAATAGTTTATGAATTAAGGGGCCTGTAAAGAGGAGGGGTAGATTTTGTACACAATTCTAAAAAAAGCCAAATACATAGGCAATCAAACCTACAAGTCCCTTGATTTTCTTTGTTTTTGATTATGTCTTTTGGATTAATATACTTTATATGGGAGAGCAAGGCAGAATTTTAGCCCTTCAGAGTATGGAATTTTGGAAGTACTATACATTTTTTAAAAGCAACCTTCTTCACTATCTGAATCCAATCAAGTTAGGTAAGGAAGCCTCTGCAACCTATATCAAGGGTACCTGATCTGTGCATTTTATTTCTTTCCAGAGCGTTCTGCTCTCCTTCCCACCCACCCACCCTCACCCACCCACTTTCCCCCATACAACATTTTAATCACCAGCTGTGACGCATCTAACAACCTTCTTGTGGCTAATTGAAAAACGTTATCATTCAGTCCATCCCTTTTAAACCAGGGGAGATTTATCATGCTGAAACATTAACCCACGTACTGCTTTCATTTCAAGGGCTTTTCACAATGGTCCTTGCTAATTTTTCTGATTATCAAGGACATTGGGGAGCTTTTCTTCCTCTCGCCCCCCTCCCGGGTGAATGCATGGTGTTCCTGCTGCTGATAGTACAAACATCACTCACTCACTTAACAACTGGGCGTCCTGGCAGCCACCACGGCCACCTTTATAAAATAAAAACACAAATTAAAGCGTGCAAACTTATGAACTGATGAAAGGCTTTAAACATGAAACTCAAGCCCAGAAGAAAAATCTTCTAATCTAACAATTCCAGGGCTTTGAGGATGATCTCCGTAGCTAGGAATAGAAGCCACAAGCTACAGAGGGCTACCTGACCCAAGGCCACCTCTACTACATTAAAAGGTTAGTACTGTACAGGTTTATATAAGTCTCGATTTTACTACACTCTATGAACAGAAGATACCATTCATTCGCTTGGCACAAGTTCATACATCAAATCCACGAGTTATCTTAAAAACTTCAGGTGAGGATGTCAACCAATCATTAGAAAATGGATGAGCATCTTTAAAACATCACATGATGCCCGTATCCTGTGCAAACAGAAGTTTTTAAGAGAAGATAAATATATGGATAACAATTAATTGCTGTTATGTGAGGAAAGCATTTGTTATTTATATAGATTTATATGCTAGCCTCATATTACTTATTATAACCCAGCCTAGAACTATGGCAAACAAAGCGGATAAGAAATACAAATAAATAAAATTATACAGTAGCTAAGGGTATAATCTGGGGTTCTCAGTGCAAAACAATGGGCAATACAGCACTCTCAGGCACCTGACTTGGTGCCCCCCAATCCTCCTGCCCTCTTAATTTTTTTTAATTTAGTTTTTTAGCTTCTTGGAGAATGTTGACTGTGTTTTTTTTCTGTGTTTTATTTGCTTGGGGTGTACAGTGTTACAGTGGTGCCTCGCAAGACGAAATTAATCCGTTCCACGAGTCTCTTCGCCTTGCGGTTTATTTCGTCTTGCAAAGCACGGCTATTAGCGGCTTAGCGGCTATTAACGGCTTAGCGGCTTTAAGAAAAAGGAAACAAACTCACAAGAACTCACAAGACGTTTCGTCTTGCGAAGCAAGCCCATAGGGAAATTCGTCTTGCAGAACGACTCAAAAAACGGAAAACCCTTTCGTCTAGCGAGTTTTTCGTCTTGCGAGGCATTCGTCTTGCGGGGCACCACTGTATGTCTGTGTTTTTGGGAGGGGGGTTCACAGCATCTCCATTTTTTTCTTGTGTGAAACTGGCACTTTATAGTGGCTACAACAGTTTATTCAATTTCCAAATGTGCTCTTTGACAAATAAAAGTTGAGGACACCTACAAATGCCTTGAGTTATTTCTCATGATTAAGGCTACCCACACTAGACAAAAGGCACCATCAGTGCAGTGGCACAGGAAGGGGGTGCAGTGGGTGTGGGCCGCCCTGAGTGTCATCACTGAGGGGGTGACAAAGTGGCAAAAATATGTATTTCTGGGTCACTACTGGGTGTGCCGCAATGCTCAGTCGTGCACATATTGAACGTGTGTAAATGGGGGCTGCCTGTACTGTACACACACAGCCACAGCCCCCCCCCAACACCAGTATCTACTTACTTCTGCATAGAATAGGATCTTAAGACCACTACCATGGTTGCCAGTTCATTTCTGGGCCCAATTCAATGTGTTCATGTTAGTGTTTAAAACTGTAAACGACACAGGCCCCAATTTTCTGAAAGACTGCCTCATTCCCTATAGACCATGGGTAGGCCAACTAAAGCCTGCGGGCCAGATCAGGCCCAACTGCCTTCTGGATCCGGCCTGCGAATGGTCTGGGAATCACCGCGTGGATTGCCAGCACGTGTGTTCTTTCCCTCTCCCTCACACGGCGGCGCCGGCAGCGCCTCCTCCCTCCCTCCTCCCGGCTTCTCCCCACCCTGCCTAGAGGAGAAAGGGGGTTGGGCTTTGTTGGTGCCAGCAGCAGCAGCGCTTGAGCGGCCACCATTTTAAGCAGCCCCTCTCTGGAGCCCTTTGGCGCGCTGCTCATCGTCCCCCCGTCGCTGCCAGCCCCTGCCGCTCACAAGACACAAGTAAGCAGCCACCGGGGCTCGTGGTGCTCTTGCATCATTCCCCCCTCCCAAAAAAAATATAGTCTGGCCCCCCACAAAGTCTGAGGGACAGTGGACTGGCCCCCTGCTGAAAAAGTTTGCTGACCCCTGCTATAAACCGTCTCAGGTGCAGCAACTTGTGGGCAGTGTAGCAGCCTCAGAGAGGACCTTCTCTGTGGTGGCCCCTAAGTACTTCTTCCCCACAGAGGTGTGTCTGGCACCTCTTTACCCTGACCTTTGACACTTGAGGTGTATATCTTAAGATGGACCTTATTTTGTCATTTTAAGTTGTCTTAAACCGTTTTTAATATGTTTTAAATGTTTTAACTCACCCTGGGACCTTAGATGAAGTGCAAGAATCCATCCATCCATCCATGAGAGTACCAGTAGACATGACTGCAGCAGAACCAAACAGGACAGAGTTCTGCTTTCTTTCACAAATTGAAACCAGTGCCAATAGGGGCTAATGGAATCCTTATTACAGTGGTGCCCCGCAAGACGAATGCCTCGCAAGACGAAAAACCCGCTAGACGAAAGGGTTTTCCGTTTCGGAGGCGCTTCGCAAGACGAATTTCCCTATGGGTTTGCTTCGCCCTTTTTCCCTGCTCCCCCCCCTTTTTTCAAAGCCGCTAAGCCGTTAATAGCCTTTTAACAGCTTAGCCGCTAAGCCTTTAATAGCCGCTAAGCCGCTAAATCGCTAATAGCGCTAATCCCCTTAGCCGCTAATGGTCTTGCTTCGCAAGACGAAAAAACCGCTAGACGAAAAGAATCGCAGAATGGATTCTTTTCGTCTTGCGAGGCACCACTGTACTGGGACTATGCGAGAGCCAGTGTGGTGTAGTGGTTAAGAGCGGTAGTCTCCTAATCTGGGGAACCGGGTTCGCGTCTCCGCTCCTCCACATGCAGCTGCTGGGTGACCTTGGGCCAGTCACACTTCTTTGAAGTCTCTCAGCCCCACTCACCTCACAGAGTGTTTGTTGTGGGGGAGGAAGGGAAAGGAGAATGTTAGCCGCTTTGAGACTCCTTAAAGGGAGTGAAAGGCGGGATATCAAATCCAAACTCTTCTTCTTCTAGAGTTGACTGAATTCTCTCAGAGAAAAATGCACTATTCAAATCTCAGCTTGGAAATTAGCACCGTTTTGTGTTGTGTTGCTGAGTAAATTTGATGTTAAAGTTTATTTACATGCCTGAAACCTCACAATGCTATTTCAAAAGGATTGTGTGTGTGTGTGTGTGTGTGTGTGTGTGTGTGCATGTGAGTAAAACTAAAGGATTAAAGACAAAGTTATAATAAAAGGGAAAAGTCACAGCAAGGTGCCTTAGCCAAAGGTAACAGCATGGCATGAAAATCATGCAGAGCCCTCCCTCCTCAGTTGACAGGGCAGTGAGGAAGGGAAATCCAGCCTTGACTTACCACCTGTATTATGTTATGTTGAAAGAAGTATATAGAGTTTCTCTACTGCTGTGCGATGAATTGAATGCAAATTATGCTCCTTGCAGCAGATGGAAGGGGGTGGGGAGCATAGAAGTTGTTTTTTGCTACCTGAAATAATAGCCACCTGAATTTTCTACTGCCTGTATTGCTCTTCCCCCTCTTCTCACCCACAGCACAGGAA